CGGTGTGTGCCTATCTGCCACTGTGTGTATCTCGATTGAAACCGACAAGGCAACGAGCGTTGGACTTCTCAATAAAGAGATCGTGGGTTCGAACCTCGGGTGGAGCAAGACTTGGGGTAGGTTATGGCTGACTGCTGACGGCTACTGAGCCAGAAACGGCTATTCCGGTCGCCCTCGTCCTTGTCGGTTACACTCGCTACATATATGTGAAAATTTTCAGGTCACGATTGGTGTTCGCGACCGACTTGTCTACGGTTTCTTCTAAAGTGAAGACTGGCGACATATGGGAACTGGGACCTTAACCTGTGCTTGGTGTTTCATTAAAACATACTAACATAAGGATCAAAAGATGAATTTCCCTTATCCACTCGTTGAGAAGAATTATGTCAAAGTATAAGACGTCATAGAACAAACTAAAAAACCGCGATAGAAGGCCTGTACTAGTTAATTTCATCGGCACTATGGGCGGCGATATTGACTCCGGCGCCTCGCTCAGTTTGTGGGTGCACTTGGAGGACCTTGCAAATAGTAATGATCAAGAAGGTACCAACACCAGCCTTCCCCCTGAAACCAGTACATTATTCAGGCAGCACCGCCTTGGCTTCTACATATCCTGCGGAAATACTGGCTCCATAGCGCGTGGGCAAGCACACGGAAATTAGAACAAATGTAATTTCTGCATGGGGAATGTTATAAATGCCGTTTGGATAACAGCCTTACTACAGGACCCTAATGTGAAAGTAAACATTAGGTTCGGTTGTAGTTATTTTAAGAATACGCGATGCTATACATAACCACATAAGGTAGGAAATTATTCACAACGTCGAAACTGCACGCCCATCCTGCACGTCCGGCAACTCTCCCAGTCTTAGCAATAATCTTCAACCAGCAACATCACAATCGCGATGAACTCAACAGCTCCCAACGTATCCTACCTAAATTGCCACCGCAGCTGTGCATAGAGTCCCAGCCTGGACCAGTGCCAGGAGCACCAACATACGCTTATCGTCGTCGCTTCAACTGCTTCCGCGTGGATATACTCGGCCACAGACGCATCCATGAGAATCCGCTATTAAACATCGCCGGTTAAACCATATAATCCTCACCAGCACGTATACCACACAGTAAACCGCCCCACAGTACTCACGACAGGCATGGAATCAGCGTCTCTCACGTATTTAAGTGGGAAGCATTTTTCAGTTCATTCTTCGTGTGGCCTCTATGGCAGGCTAACGCATGTGAGCTCCGAACAGTCCACCGTCTCTTTGTGTGAAAACCCGGTGTGTTGTGTTGAGGGGCCAGATCGTGTGGGGCGCGCGCAGACGGGCTGCTCAATTCTGTCAGTTATTGCATCCGAATTAAGCACCTATTGGTAGACCGGTTCGGACCATCGGCTTTTGCGGGAGTTAGGTCGACTCTAGGGACTCCACGCGCTTCCCACGCCCTCTGCGGCATTTCATCATATTTCTTACGCTGATAAAATTAGCACACTTAAGTTTGCCATGGTTCATTAAATTTCGTGACTTTGGGAGTTGCTTACTGGCAATGCGAGGCTGATCGGTGCGCGCATATTCAGTGATGGACTGGTAGACTGAAGGACCGACTCAATGGCTCCTTCTTAACATGGCCTCTATGGTGGCCTTACTCACGTGAGATCCGAGTTGCTCACGCCTGTTATGTCAAAACCTGGTATGTTGTGTGTAGGGGGGGAGGGGGGCAGGTCATGTGTAGCATACGTAAACGACGCCAGTCCCTGCACGCAATGTCAGCATTAGTTGACTGACGGGATCAGATGGCGGACTGGTGCCTAGGCGGGGAGAAAATAGTGGGTGGTCGATTAGTAGTGCATATTCCTTCATTTAGCCAGCATGGCGCACTTATAAACTATCAGGATTTACAAAAAAGCCGTGATATTAAAGGCTGCCGAACGGTGGTATAACTCGGTCCTCCTCTTAGGACGGAGAATCAGGCTGCAACGGTTGTTTCTCAATGTGGTCTATATGAAACTCAGCTGGGATCCGAAACGCCCTACTTTTCGTATTATGTGAAAACCTGTGTTAGGAGCAGGCTTAACTATCCGTTATCACGCTGTCGCGCGAATGATGGGATCAATCAAGCCGCCGGCCGTGATTGGTGTTCTGCCTGTTCAGCCTGAAAGCCACTCGGTATATTAGTCCTCACTTAAGGCCGCAATGTGATTGGCCCAATCTGTACGTTCTGTCTGCCATAAGTAGGCTGTATTAGTTACGCTAAAAGACTTCTTCTTTAGCGCTCTTCT